GGTGTGAATCTACATGAAAAATTAATGTTAGTTTGCTTTACAAACTATGGTCCAAAAATGTTTCCTTACAAAAACTCGGGGTGTTGATGTTTTAGGAAAATATGGAAATTAATTAATATTTTCAGAACCGCGTCAGATATTTCACTGATGTTTAGTACGTAGTGAAAGTTAATAAAGTAGCATATTTTTCAATGCAAAAATAATTTTCAGCTTTAACAGTGGCGTGCGTACGGGTATTGACCTCAATATTTTTTGTGAAAAAACTGGTACGCCAATGGTTTTTTGCCAAATAAAAATCAGTTTTGAATTCCCCGTTCAATTTAAAACAAACAAAACAATTGAGTTACTTTCCTTCGATGCGCCATTTTTGAAACGTTGGCTGCACATCTAATCTGTTATAAACAATTATAATAATCTCAAAAACTACGCAAGATGCAATGCTGAAACTTTAAATTATGTATTAGGGACTAATACCGAGCATTTTACCTAATTTTTCAGACGGTCAGTTCGCTACAATTGGTTGATATTTGTCTAATGCTTTTTCGTTTTCTCGAGTTTATTTTCCAGCATTTTGAACTCACAGTCGTTTTAACCGTACGAGATTTCGAAAACAAAACAAACATATTCTATATTAATACTTTTAGAAAAAATTATATTTATTCGTAAAAAACTAGATTTCATGACCTACTTATCTGACAAAATCATGCAGTCATGAATAATGTACCTATTTAGCACAAGCTACATACTAACTAGGCTAAGAAGACTGTTTGAAACATAAATATGTCTTCAGTTTGCATTCTAACTTTGTAAACAGTTCAGTCGATTTCAGTATGAAATATTTATTTATAAACTTTAAGGCTCACCTTGATTATATAAAAATGTCAGCTTTAAATAAATATGTATACATAAGAGTATGAAGAAATCTTGCAAAGAAATTTTGTTCTTTGCAACAAAAGGGCATAAACACATTCGCTCTGTCTCAAAATGAGTAAGTATAATAATGTATGTTTTTCGAATATCGTAGTCTTTTTATTTACTCATAAATACGAAATGTTTGAATTTTTTTAGAAGAAGAAAACGTAATCCTTCGTTTTTCGCATATACGTATAAATAACATTTACCTTTCGGAATGGTTCGTGATTCATATCAGCAAAATGCCCTTTGAACGAACTCTGTATATTGCTCAATAAAGTAGTAGTGATGGCCAGAAAACAGGTGTTTTGGCATAAGCAATTAGAAACTCTCAAATAGTACTAGACCAATCTGCTCCAATTTTGTTGTGGTTATTTAGAAGTATGGAGTCTACGTATTTGCTAACAAGTGTAGGTCTCGTACCTAAGAATCTTATTTGAAGAGTTCGTACCTACTTTCGAAAAACACGTTTTCTCATTCTTTGTTGACGAATAAAAAATTTTCCCACAAAAATTGGTGTACCCGTTTTATACGTTCATGTTTTAAATACCCCGTTGAACAACTCAATAAGACCAAACTTTACCATTATTTCGCAAACCATGGGTATTTTCGTCTAATATGATTAGACTACCAGTAGGAAACCGTTTAAGGAAGAGCTTTTATCTTCTAGTCTCAGAATTTATTGTACTGACAATTCCTATACCTACTGAGATATCTATACTAAGTGACATATAAATCCGAACACCCAGTTTAAATGGTTTTATTTTAATAAAATTTTGTATAAGTACTTAATGAAGCATAATAAGTAAATGATAAAAATTTCAAAATGATTGCACTGCTTTAAAACCCTTTGACCTTTAATAATGTGTGGATGCACCCTGATGTGCTACGTATTCTTCAACGCGCCTAGGCATGCTTCTGATCAGGTGGTCAATGTCCTCCTGTGGTATCTCATTCCAGGCAACCACCAACTCCTCTCGAAGTGCTTCTAGAGTCTGAGGAGGACGTTGCAAATTGAGCAATCTCCTATCCATCATATCCCACACGTGCTCAATTGGGGATAAGTCGGGAGATCTTGGTGGCCATGGTAACAATGTGACATCATTATGTTGAAAGAAGTCTATTGTGTCTCTTGCAACATGTGGTCGGGCATTATCTTGTTGGAAAGTTGGATCTGCCAGGGTGTCAAGATAGGGTAAAAGATGGGGTTCTAAAACTTCGTAGATATAACGCTGCGCGTTCATGTTACCTCTGATGAAGATTAAAGGTGACCTGGAACCATAAGCTATAGCACCCCAAACCATAACTCCAGCAGTGTGATGAACATGTCTTTCAACAAAAAACTGTGGATTCCTCCTTTCACCACGTCGCCTTCTAACCCTTACACCGACGTAATCGCCTTGAGTGGTGCAGACAACGGTGACTCTGGGATCAGGAATGGAACAGTATTGTCTTTAGTGACGAGTCTCGATTTTGTTTAG